AAAAAAAAAAACAAAAAACTACTCCATTAAAAAAAATATTAATTTTCTAAGTTCGTAAACCAAATTCAATACTTTCTTACAATAAGCAATTTGCTGGTGAAACTAGATTAGCAGTTTATCTTAATCAGAACATGAACTGTATCTCTGAAGCTTCCATTGTTGGCCATAAAAATAATAAAATTTAAAATGTTCTGGAGTAGGGTCAGTTTGAGAAACTTTAATCCACAAGGAATGAAAAACTAGGAATTTAGTTAAAGAAAATAATCAGAGATGAGGGCAAAAATTCAACTACAAGAATGATTACTGCAACACTCTATTCATAGCAGATAATTGTCAACAATTTACCTATGGAACATCAAGGGGCTGACTAAACAGATTATGGTATTCATCCTAGAAAGAAGAAAGGATGTAAAACATTCCTTGGCATTTAAAGATGTTTACGGCTCCATGGTCAAATGGGGAGAACAAACCTTTGCATACTCCGATCAGAATGCCACCAATTCCACCTGTGCCTGCACTTCCTCCGTTTCATTCAAGGCGTAACTCAGGAATCACTTCCTCTGTGAAGTTCCCCCAACCCTTCCTGCTCTCAGCAGTGAGTAGGATGGTGCAGGTTATATCCTGCTCAAGGATCCCTCACCAAGGAGGCAGGAAGGAGCTAAAATATGGTAGACTTCCTCTTGCCATACTGTGTGGCCTGTTACAGAGCTTCACCAGTAGAGAGGAAGAGGCGTCTTTTTTTCTAATTCACCCAAAGATATCATATGGGCTATTAATGGCCCTTCCCAAGTATTCCACTCTGAGTCTACTCCCTGCCTGCAGCACTTATCACACTGCGTAAGTGTTTGCTGCCTTTTCATTTCTCTAACAGATTATAACCTCTCTGAGAATCAGGACTGAGATGTAGGAACTAGGCATGGAAATTTCCTCTGAGGATTGCACTTCTGCTTTGTCAGATGCCTATGAAAAGACTAAGCACAAGGGAAGGGCTCAGACTGGGTCATTTCTTGAATGAAAAATAAACAATGAGTAGGAAGAAGAGAAGGAACCTCTGAGAGGGCACTGGGCTGTGTGAGTCTCTCACTCACTCACAACCCCATCACATCTCAGAAAGGGAAGAAACAGGAAACAGGCCTCAGGGTGGAACTCTTAAGCACAAAATTTTCAGAAGAAAACAAGCATTGCCAAATCCTGAAAAGCAAGACTATTTTAGTGGCGACAGGGGGAATACTAACTCACCAGGGACATGGCTTTACGAAGTTTAATTCCTGCCACCTCTACCTCTTTCTGGCTCTTCATTTGGAGAAGAGCTTTACTCTGGCATTGCAGAGCTGAGGATGAGAAAGTAGTAGTGAGAAACCAAGTAGCACTAATAATCAGTCTAAAAATGCTTTCTTCCCTTCAGCTTCTTCTGTCCTCACTCACAATCCTCCCTCCAACTCCCCCACCCCACAGTCCAGATGCTCTTTGGGAGATTTGATATATATAGCTGGGGTTCCCCTCTGCTCTGGGTTTTCAGGATGAGCATAATATATCTTGACCCCCTCTTCCCATCAGCCACCAAATCATTAACAACAGATGTATTAATACTAAGTGTTCTCTATGTGTGTGTACATTTTTTTTTCTAAGACAGGGTCTCACTCTGTTGCCCAGGTTGGAGTACAGTGACATGTTCATAGCTCACTGTATCTTCAAACTCTGGGCTCAAGTTATCCTCTTGCCTAGGCCTCCTAAGTAGTTAGGACTACAGGCATGTGCCACCATGCCCAGCTAGTTTTTTTTCTTACTTTTTATAGCGATGGGGGTCTCACTATATTGCCCAATTGCTCACTATATTGCTTGAGGCCAGGAGGTGTCAACCTCCTGGAGTTGGGTATCT